TGATGATTGCTGAATTTTTTTTGAATTCTAATTTGTCAGTTGAGATATTTTTCCACCATAACTTTTCTTTACGATATGCACTGTTTTCTGTACATATGAACTATCAGCATGTTACAGGTTTCCATTATCTTTTGTGATGATGATAAGCAACTTTTTAAAGTTGTTGGATGTCTCTACCTAAGGCCCTTGCCCGAGTCTCAGCAGGTCTATGTTCAGGTCCTCTTTGTACTGCAGATTCCTGGCTCAGCCTTTGGAAAGGCAGGGTGGGCATTCTGCCCTGTCTTGATGGTGTGGCAGCTGGGGACATCTTGCCCCTTCACTTCTTTATGTCCCAGGGCATGGACCTTTTGGACAACCTGCTGTGCACCATGGTGGTTCTGCAGCTGGTTCAGGAGGAGCTCCACTGCCCCTGCAGCCAGTGGGGAGCAGCAATCTCAGGAGCCCTGCTAAGCTCAGCCATCTTCTTTGTAATTCAGCACCCTTCACTTCTGTGCCTCTCTTTACTATGTACAGCACTGGAACAGATTTTTCCCATTTCCTGGATTTTTTCTGCCTGGCATGAGGAAGGGTCTCTTCTTTCTTAATGCTGACCATAGTCTAGAGCTAAGCATCTTGGCTTCATTCAAAGATGATGGGTTACAGCAGCAACATAGTGATTTACTGTTGGTGGAGTCACAGTACAGGTCACAGGAAGGGCTCTTATCAGCTTGATTTCCTCACCCTTTTGTAGACTCACTGACCCCAAAACGTAACTTGGCTGAAAGGGATGGAGCCAATGAAGTTCATTAGTCATTTGCAGTACATAGAAAATTGCTTGTTTAGTTAGAAAAAATCCTGGGTCAAGATGAAGACAGTTAAGGAAAGAGAAGGAAAAAACCCCAAAAAACAAGTGATGCAAAGACTCACCACCTCCCATGACCAGACATTCTCTGAGCAATGGCTACATTGGAAAGACAACTCCCCAGTATTTATTGCTGAGCATGACAAATGACATAGATTACTGTCCTGGTTTTGGCTGGGATAGAGTTAATTTTCTTCACAGTGTCTCTTCTTTCTTAATGCTGACCATAGTCTAGAGCTAAGCATCTTGGCTTCATTCAAAGATGATGGGTTACAGCAGCAACATAGTGATTTACTGTTGGTGGAGTCACAGTACAGGTCACAGGAAGGGCTCTTATCAGCTTGATTTCATCACCCTTTTGTAGACTCACTGACCCCAAAACGTAACTTGGCTGAAAGGGATGGAGCCAATGAAGTTCATTAGTCATTTGCAGTACATAGAAAATTGCTTGTTTAGTTAGAAAAAATCCTGGGTCAAGATGAAGACAGTTAAGGAAAGAGAAGGAAAAAACCCCAAAAAACAAGTGATGCAAAGACTCACCACCTCCCATGACCAGACATTCTCTGAGCAATGGCTACATTGGAAAGACAACTCCCCAGTATTTATTGCTGAGCATGACAAATGACATAGATTACCCCTTCAGTCAGTTGGGTGGGTTGTCCCAGCCGTGTCCCCTCCCAAGCGCTTGCCCACCCACCCACAGCCTGCTACCCGGGTTTGGGGGCAGAGCGAGGAACCGAGAAGGCCTCGACATTGTGCAAGTACTCTTCAGCGTTAGCTAAACCACTGGTGTGTTATCAACACCGTGTAGTCACAAATCTAAAACACTGCACCATGCAGGCTGTTGTGAAGAAGCCTGATCCAGTACATCCTAGTAGGCTGTCAATACACTTGAAGGGGCTGGTTTGGGGATAAGAGGTGTTTTTTTTTCTCACAGACCCAATCTGGAGAACAGAAGCAAGTGAATTAAACAGTAAGTGCAGGTCCCAGATTAAAGGCTACACACAGGATGGGGTCCTGGGAGCTGGGCCATACATGCCACTAGGCAGGCCCAGCACAGCAACAGCCTCCAGAAGACATCCAGAGGAAGGCCTGGATTTTAAAAAATCAGTTCAGACAGTGGCGTCCCACCCTGTCTATTTGAGCTCAAATTCACAGGTGGAGACAGAGAATAGTGCCATTCCATACCATGCTGGGAAGAAATCAGAGTTTTCCAGGTGATTCCTCTGAATGTGAACTGTATGAGGATGGGCCTTTCATACCCACATATCCTTCAGTACTCAGATAATTCCTGTCTTTCTGTCATCAGAAGTGAGCCAAAACCTTTGGCAGTTAAATCTCTTTCCAGTGAAACTCACGGATCCCTCCAAACAGTTCTGGCTTTATCCCAACACCATTTTGAAACCCTTCAGGGATTATGCAAGTAATTAGATAAATAATAAAAAAGCCATGTCCAGATGTGGCAGTGACACTGCGAGCAAAGCCCCACTTTTCCAGCGCATGAGGCTTCACAGCAGTTGTTCACCCTCAGGGCTGCCAATAGAGGAATGCAAGGCACCTTATCTGCAAAAGTAAAGGAAAAGAAAATGCAAGCAGCTTCAGTTTTTCTTTGATGACAATAAAACTGACCGTTCTCAGTGATATAATCATCCCTCCAGACATGGCCTAGAAGGCTCCTCTCAATTTCACTCATCTGCCCACTTCTGGTTTTAAATACCCTTGGTGCGCAGTATTCAGAGCAGTGCCCGTTGTATCAGAATTTTCTGATAAGGAACATCAAGAGACATGACCAGGAGAGATCGCAGGGAATGAGAGTCGTCTGCCTCAAAACAGATCCCTAGCAGTCAGACATGTAAATCTGTAGAAGCCTCCTGAGGCTCCCTTTGTAGTCAAGGGAAACAAATTTCTCCAGCGACTGACTCATTTCACACTAAAATAGGCGCATAAGAAAAGTCAGATAACCCATTCTCTGGAAGTATCAGTGTTTCTCCACTAACAGGGAAGACTAGCTGATTTGTACACTTGCCTTTTTAGTATCTAAATTTAGGTGGGAAATGTTTCTTTCCTCACTGTTGTAGAATCTGCTAGCTAACTGGGATAAAGATAAAATCTGCCCATCCTTTAAATGCCATTTTGACAGCTCAGTAGAAAACAAAAAAATCTGGTGTTCACAGTGTATCTGGCTATTTTTGTACACACAAAAGTGCAGATGTGAACACTCAAAGATGGATTGAACCAATGTGGACTCAAGTTCTAAGCCAATGAGTTGTTCCAGGAAAGAAAATGCCTTTCACAGGCCATTGCCATTACCTGAGAGTCATATAAGAGACTTACGTGTGTGTGTGTGTGTGTATATGTATATATATATAAAAGGATATATATGTTAAAAAGACATATAAAGATAGACAACAATATGTCCATTTGAACGCTTCCTTCCAGTGTCACGCCACCTAAGGGGTCAGTATCATTTTGGCTATGTATCTCAACAGATGTAATGGGACGGGCTGAGAGCTGGCAAGTGCAGAGCCCTGTTTCACTGGCTCAGAAGAACTGAAATGGTTAATGAGTTAATTTTCTTCATAGCTGGTACGGGGCTATGTTTCAGATTTGTGGTGAAAACAGTGCTGATAACACAGGGATGTTTTGGTTCCTGCT